TTTTAAAAAAAAAAAAAAAAAAAAAAAAAAACACTTTGCGAAAAGGCAATTTTTTTAAATTTTAAAACAGTGAAAATCCCTAAAAAAATATAAAATATCTCATATTCTTTCCCACTTTCTTCATAGCAGATTAGGATACTAGCTGATTAGGATATCTTTGCTAGAGCCTGTTGGCCAGAACTTAACGATTTCATTAGATTTTGGAAACAATAAAACGGAAAAGGAAATTCAGTATTCTTATAAACAACCTTCAAATTTTTAAATTAATTACCTTATAATCATTTCAAATATGAATACACAATTTACATGTAGCAGTAGTGTTCTTCATGTATAAACAAGTAATTTTGAAACAATTTAATATTCTTGATTTATCATTTCAACATTGTATCTTTTCTAACGACAAATTTTATTTCTATCTGCCAAAATGTACAATTAACTATAGTAATAAAAGTTTTGAAATTTTGGATTTTGATATCAAAATTAAAAAATGATCATCATCCCACAAATCATAAATGAGAAGAAAAAAATGCCATTTGGCTATTCTAAATCAAGTACAAAAAGCTCTTTTGCCCTAATCATGGAATTATCTATCTCATAATATTAAGACTTTGAGGATTCTAACCACCATAAGTAATTTATTATTTGCTTAAAATTTGCAAACTCTAATGGTTTGTTATTACATCCAATAAATGTAATAAATATTTACAAAACAAATGATAAAATAATGATAATTGTATACCTGCAAAAAATTCATTCTTTAAAAGAAGTTTTACACATTTTAATTCTAGATTTAATCATTTTTAATTGGAAATTATTTGACACGGTGCAAAGTGCCATATCAAAGTTTTTAACTTTCTGGAAACATCTATTTTAGGGACAATTTTTAAGAATTAAAATAAACAAATCTTTTTTCTTGCTTCCAAAATAAAAAATTGTCAAATTTGTTTTCTTTTCTTTTATGCTTGCAATATGTTACAAAATCTTATGCATAAAAATATTGTATACACATGCATATGTATGCATGCATATATTATGCATACATTATATTCATACATATATTACATGCATACATATATTATTTGCATACATTACATACATATATTACATGCATATATTATGTATACAAGCCTATATTATGCATACAAGCATATATTATGCATAGCAATTATGTATAAGAACTAAGCTACAGTGGATATGGGACTTTTCATTGTAGCTTACTGTACTTTGGACTGGTAACAAGACAAAAATTACTGCTGATAAATCAATTAGAAAAAATTTATACATCTTTGATAATAAAGAAAACATAACGTAATCTGTCTTAGCAAAGAAAAAAAAACATTCAAAAAAATTATAAATATTGTAATATAATATTTTAATATAATATCATATACATATAATATTATATCATAATATTATAATTATACCATAATATTATAATTATATTATATTATTATAATTATATATTAAAATAATAATATATATATTTATATATAAGTCTACAAGGATTTACCCCAACATCTCCAGCAAGAGTCCAGTTAGCGCTATTTTTTCGAATTTCATCTGTGCTCCAAACTCGATCCCACTTCTTATCATCTTGCACTAATACCTCACCTTCCTACAAAAAAGTTATTCATCAGAATAATTATGATTTTTATGTCTCTATTAAGTGATTTAAATCTAGATTTAAAAGAAATCATTGATTTAAATCATGAAATTTAGTTAATTTTAGTTAAGACAAAAACTGTTTTCATGGAGTTGAATTCATGCATGATCTTAAGGTTGTGAAATTTTTATGTTTGATTTTTTTTTTACCATTGATAATTTTTTACAACAAATTCTGTTTTTTACATTAGGACTTTTACTACATCAATTAAAAGTTTTTTTAAAAAAATAATAATTATTAGTTAATAATTAGTTAATAAAATAATTAGTTTGTAAAATTTTTTATAATTTTTGTAAATTAATTCACTGAATAATAAAAACAGGAAGTTTTCCATATCAATTTCAGCTTTACAAAATCCGCCAAGTTTTCATAAGTTTTGGGCAATGGCTTTTAAGAAACAGAAAAAAAATATCACAGACGGAGACCTATTTGAAGAGAATAACTTGTACCATCAACATATTATTTTGTATTTTTTTTTCTACGAGTTTAAAAAACTTTGATGCCTTGGCGATTGTAGTTAGCATGAGCAGGTGTTAATATAGAAATATCCCCTTAAAATCAGTAAAAGATTCTTAAGCTTTTAGGGGGAAATTTCCGTATCGTGATCTGTTGCAAAATAATCACCGAGTCTTGGCAACTTCTGGGCAGCGGCTCACGAGAAACTAAAAAAAAACATCACAGAAAGGGACCAACTCAAAAAGTATAGCTCGTAGCCACCCCCGGCCAAATATCTACATATTTTTTTTTAAAAAAAACTTGCAAGTTCAAAATCTATTTGGCACTTTGGTGACTGCAGATGGCACGACAGATCATATATTAATATCTATCACAATATGCGACAGATCACAATATGGAAATATCCCCAACTTNAATAACTCGTAGCCACCCCCGGCCAAATATCTACATATTTTTTTTTTAAAAAAACTTGCAAGTTTAAAATCTATTTGGCACTTTGGTGACTGCAGATGGCACGACAGATCATATATTAATATCCATCACAATATGCGGCAGATCACAATATGGAAATATCCCCAACTGTTTTAATGAAATTGAAAATAATAAATTTTTTTGAGGCCCTTCTAGGGCATTCAAGAATCTCTCTAAGCGTGATACTTTCAGTCTGATTCTGACAGTAAGTTCAAAACTACAAAATAAAAAAGCAGAACAATCTTCATCCCCACAGAACAATTTAAGACCAAGTTGTTATAAAATTACTTTCGCAACAAAAAAATGACATGACGTCAATCTAATAAATAAAATGTATGAGTAAGAACATCAAAACAGTTATATGTTTTTAACTAGTTTCTTAAAGTGCTGTTTAGTTTTATATTTATTTAAAATAATGCAAGTGATAAAATTTAAGTTTTTACAAAATTTGTGAAAATTTGCAAAGTTTGAATAAAAAGACTAGAAACTAGAAGATATGCTATTAAATCGTAGGTACTTATATATTTCAGTGTTTAGTGATTGTCAAAACTTATAAAATTGCAATGAAAAAACAATACATTCAACTGATTTTTAATTTGAATGAATTAAAAGTTGAATAAATCAAGTAGATACGTTTACTTGCTCTGGTGAAATAAATAAATACCCAAAAGTGAAAGAAGTTTTCAGTGACAAATAATGAAGCCCATATAGTAGGAAAAATATAAATAATGTACAGTTAGTTTTCCGTAATTAATAGAAAAATCAAAAGAAATTGCTAATTTTCATTTTCAAACAAAATAAATAATACAATATAATAAGCTATCAAAAGCAGGATAATGAAAAATAAATGAAAAAATCACACGAAATATTATAACCCTACCAATACGCAAAAAAAATTATATTAGATTATTAAAAAAAAAACTAGGCTGTAATGACTATTTAATGTACAATACATCAATATTCATATTTAATGTACAATACATCAATATTTATTATCTATTTAATGTACAATACATCAATATTTATAAAAAATAATTGAGATAAAATGTAATTTATAGATTTAGTTATATGGTAAGGAAAGAAAACTAGGTTCAAATCTTCCTAAATACTTATAACAATCCTAAATACAAACAATTCATTTTAGTTTCACATAATAACTAGATTGTATTAAACAGTATTAAACGATAAAATGTTATTTTCTTCCCAAAAATTAGAATTAAAAAGAGCATAATCTATGTACATAAGATAACAAAAAGCACAACATTTTTAGGCATTTAAATTGTTTAGTTCAATTAGGAGTAAAATAAATCTCTTACCATTATTATAGAATTAATATTCTAAGCATATGACTTGAATAAGTGAAACAAGTTACGCTAGAGGCGGAACCAAGCGCGGATGAAAAAGTAAACAAAAAACTTAAATTGTTTACTTCCGTTAAATTCCGAAACCGGAAACGATTTTAAGGAGTTGTGCTGTTTAGTTCTTTCACTATAAAAAATTATTATTTAATTGGCAAAGTAAGCACAAAGCAAATTGTTTTTATAGCATAAAGTTTCAGAAATGCAAAGTTTAATTATTTGCAATCTGGCATCTGATCACCGACCCATTCACATCCTTTCAGTTTTTTCCGAATCTCGTTCTATAAATTCTTTTCTGTACCGTACTTTAGCAACTGAAAAAAGTTAAGACGTTCATTAAGGATTTTATTGTGCTAAATACGAACAATAATACACAAAACTTTTTTAAGTAAAGAGGTAAACAAAATCTTACTGCATTTGTTTCTTCCATTAGTTTTTTGTACGCGTATTTTCCATATTATTACAAAAATATTCATTGAAGATTTAAATCTTAAGGTAATGTAGCTTAAAATTGGTGATCAATATTAAGATTTATGTTTGTATTATTTTGGCATAACATAAAAAATTATATTATTTGTTTGTTGGGCCTACAAACCATGCTTTTGTTTGCATATTATAATTAAGAATGTAATTATAATTAAGAATAATACGACTTTCTAGCTTGTGAATACATTTGTAAATCAATATGTTTAGGAAAAACTAAATAAAAATACTTTAAATTTTTTAACATCACTGATGTTATTTTGGAGCTGCAACTTAAGCTTTAACTAAGTTTTTCTAAATGGTAGGCGTGATTTAAATATATATATATAATGCTAATTTTTGCATATCGTGATCTGCTGCTGAATTATTGCCAAGTCTTGGCAATTTCCCGGACAACAGCCCCCTGTGAGAAACATACAGTGCTCCTACTTGAAGGGTGTCATAGTCACCCCTGGATAAACTTCATTATGTTTTTTTTTTTTTTTTTTTGAATTGCAAGTTTTAAATCTATTTACGTCTTAGCGATTGTAGTTGGCGTGACAGATAACTGTACAACTATATACATAATTATGTGTTATTCAGAGAGTATTTCCATATTGGTATGTTCGCCAAAATAATCCCCAAGTTTTAGAAATAGCTAAGCATTGGAATTTGAGATACTGAAAAATGAACACTACTGAAAGGGACAAACTTGAAGCCACCGATTGACTAGCCACTACTATATTAACTTTAAATTTATTCCATGTACAAATGCAACTTTATTTGGTGATGCTGATTTGGAAAAATCCATTTATTATTTTAATTTTTCAAAATTAACTTAAGTTTAGAGTTTAAAAAATCTGTGAAGTGAATTAGTGAAAATTAGCCTTAAGATTATGGATCTGTTTAGAAAACATGTAGATTTCTAATAATAACTGCCTTATCTAAGGCAATATGAAAAAAAACATTTAATTCTTAAACTGATTGTGGCATCATCCTATATATGAAAATCACACTGAATTCACTGTGTCATTTAACATGTTCTTCTGGAACATTTTTGTGTTGGATCTTTATTGTTTAACTTCAACACCAAGGCACCAAAGTGTCACAACCAGACAGTTGTACAGTAAAAGATCTATGTAATGTAATTCTCCATATGCAGAAATAAATTTACAATCTCTAAAGGTCCCGCAGTGGACTGATCGTTATGACACGGTTCCCAGCAGATCACCGAAGTCAAGCATCACTGGCTACGGCCAGTGTGCGGGTGGGTGACCACTTGGATCAGTCTGCGTAGGGACCTAGAGTGTGCGGTATTGGTCCTCGTTAAACTGTGCTACCGTAAAGTGCTCGACTTCGCGCGCAGGTCATTGGGCTACCGAAGCGGGGGGTGCCATCCCCTCCGCAGAGGATCAAAATTGTGATGGCATGTCTTCGGATCATCCTCCGGGATGTTTCCCAGACCGTCACCAATTGCCCATTGTGCAGCTCTAGTGCGATGTAAATTAACAACAACAATCTCTAAAGCAAACCAAAATTGATAAATTTGTTGGTTTTTATTTCTAATGCTGTTAATAATCTAATTTTTTCCCTGAGTAATAAGTTATTGAGTATTTGTATGGAAAAAGTATTTTATATAGTAAAGTAATAATATTTATCTTTCCAAAAATAAGTTACCATGTTTGGTAGCCAAGTTTAATGATACATAAAAAGATCTATAAAACGCAAAATTCCATGAAAATTGAATTTTGCTTTTCGAAAATGCTCTATTCGGTGATGTTTTCCTTTTTAATATTATTTTCTAGCAGACTGCCAAAATGTGGTGAGCATTTTGAGGAAAAATCCTGAACCTCTTTTGTGCTATGCTTATAAGTAAAAGTAAATGCAGTACAGTCTGAATAGTTGGAGGTGGGCTAGACCAAGCTTACCTCGAACTTTCGAAAACTTAAGCTGTAATAAATATTTAAGTAAATGGAAATCAAGCAATTTCTAAAGTTTCATTATTTAATTGAATTATGTATTACATTTGAATAAAATTTACTTACATTAGAGGTTCAGGATACATTTACTGCATTAACCAAGTGACAATATTCATTTTAATACTGTGTCAGATTAATTGTAGTTTAAAATAATTATCCAATGTAATAGTAATGTCTAAAACAAGGGCTCGTAACCAATCTAGTAGCATAAAAAATTTAAATATGAAAATTCTGAATTTTATTAAATAAATCTAAGTTAAAAAAGAAATAATCTTAATTATTCAAATAGAATCAGATCTATATCTTAATGACAGGGTTGGAGTCTTGGATGTCCTAAACTGATTTTGGACAGGACACGTAGGTTTTACTGTCTTAAACTGTCCAAAACCTTGAGCTTTGATAAAAGGTAAAAATTCTATAGGTGTAACCATTGTGCACATAATAATTACAAGTATCAATAAATATTTGATATTTTTTATACAATTTACTTTAACTTATTAAAGGAATATAATATAACTAGTGGGCTGTGCCCCCTGCTCGCTAAAGCTCGCCAACCCCCGAAAATTGCCACGCAATCTTACATGGTTTGCTTCGCAGACCAAGCTCGCTTCGCTCGCAATTAACTTAGGTACATTGCAAATGCACAAAATTCGAAGAATTTAAAACAATAATTCAAATCCATATAACAACTTTTTTTAAAAAAAAATTGCATCTTTTTAGTAAATACTAAGTCATTAAAATAAATTTGAATTCAAATAAATGACATGTAATTCGTCAAACCTATTAGAAATGTGCTATAGTATAAAATCTTAAGATAAAATTTCTAAAACTGATATCTCTTTAAAAAGGTTAAAATTTTGGCTATAATTAAGTATATTAAAAATTGAAATAAGTGAATTGCAATGGAAAAAC